AGACAGAGAGAGAGAGAGAGAGAGACAGATCTTCAGTGTACTGGTTCACTCCCCAAATGGCTGCACAGCCAGGGCTGGGTCAGGCTGAAGCCGGGATCCCAGAACTCCCTCTGGGTCTCCCACGTGGGTGGCCGGGGCCCAAGCACATTAGCAGGGTGCTGGATCCAAAGTAGAGCAACCGAGGCTCCACCCAGTGCTCTGATGTGGGCGCAGGCAGCGGCTGAACCCACTGTGCCACAGCACTGGCCCCAAACTTTTAAGGTTTTTTTTTTTTTTTAAGCACTCTCCTTCACTGGTTTCTAACGTGAGAACGTGCAATACACATTGCAGGGTCTATGCGTGTGTGAGGAAGTAGGATTTTACTGACAAGTGCTCAGATTACTGCCCTCCAGGGTCTTGAAGAGCACAGCCACCCTGGGGGAAGTGGGTGCTCCCGCAGGGGGGTCACTGCGGGCGGGGCTCGAAGTGCAGCACGTCCACAGAGGGAAGTCCATAGTTTCCTATGGCCCACGAATGATGTTCTAAATCTCCACATGACCCTTGGCAGAAAAATAGGTTCGCCAACTCTGAAAGGAAACCCGCCTAGGACAATTGCCACCCCTGGAAACTCGTGTTTGTGGCAGGAAAAAAATGGCGTTGCTGGAGCCAGCGCCATGGCACAGTGGGTGTAGCTGCCACCTCCAATGCCGGCATCCCACACAGGCGCGGGTTGGAGTCCCAGCCGCTCTGTTTCAGATCCAGCTCCCTGTTAATGTGCCTGGAAAACAACGGAGGCTGGGCCGAGTGCTTGGGCCCCTGCACCCACATGGGAGACCTGGAAGAAGCTCCTGGCTCCTGGCTTTGGTCTGGCCCAGCCCTGGTCATTGCAGACATTTGGGGAGTGAACCAGCAGATGGAAGACCTCTCTCTCTTTCTGTCTCTCCCTCTTTTGTTCTATGACTCTGCCTTTCAAATAAATACAATAAATCAATAGAAGAGCTTAAAAGCACTTTACCAAAACGGCTACGTTAGTACCAAGTACCGGCTGTGCAGTTGTGCCGCCTAACGGGGGTGCAGGTTTTCAGCCACTGTGGGAGAAACCTCTGTCCTGGCACCTTCCGTTGGCACAGGAGCAGGTGAGGGAACGGCGGCCAGCGGAGCGCACGTGAAAGGCAAGGTTGCAATCTGGACGCATGTGCGGTGTCACCCTTTGCTTAAAGTCTCGCACTAGGATTGTGGCTTTGCCGAGTGTGATTCTGCGAATACTTGCTACATATAATTTGCAGTCTGGTTCAAGGCTATTGTATGCTATTGGTGAATTATTTCTTTTATCATTATTTCACGATTCAATGACATTTTTCCCCAAATGATGATTTTTGCTTTAAAGCTGTTTTATCTACACTAATACTGCTACAGTATTTCTTTTTGTAGTATCTGCTTAGTATAGAAGTATTTCCAGTATTTCTGTTTTATTATGTTTTAGATGTATCTCTTAGAAATGGCAGATAGAGTTTTCCAAATATAACTTGTTTGCTAATTATCCCAACCTGAGCATTACATAGTGCATATATGGTACCCCATAAATAGATATAATTATTATGTAGTAATATATATAATCTGAGAACTTCTGTTATTCAAGTAGAAGATTTAGTCTATTTATATTTATTATTATTGATATATTTGATTTAACTGTGTTTATATTTGTCTTTCTGTTAAAGATTTATTTTATTTACTTGAAAGGCAGAGTTACAGAGGGGGAGAGAGAGAGAGAGAGAGAGAGAGAGAGATCTTCCATCCACTGGTTCACTCTGTAGATGGCCAAAATGGCCAGGGCTGGGCTAATCTGAACCCAGGAGCCAGGAGCTTCCTCCAGATCTCCCACGAGGGTGCAGGGTCCCAGGCACTTGTGCCATCCTCTCTGCTTTCCCAGGTGCATTAGCGGGGAGCTGGATCAGAAGTGAAGCAGCTGGGTCTCAAACCAGTGCCCATATGGGATGCTGGTGTCCTGGGCCGCGGCTTTATCCACTATGCTTCAACACCAGCCCCCGTCTGTCTTTCTTTTTCTTTTATTTTAAGAATTACTTATTTATTTGAAAGAGAGATAGAGAGAGAGACAGACAGACAGACAGAGGGAGCGAGATCTTCCATCCACTGGTTCACTCCCTAAATGGCCAGGGATCTGGCCTGGGCAGGCAGGCCGGAAGGACCAGCGGGAACTTCCTTAGTGTCTGATGCTTCGCTGGCACGTTGGTCTTCCCCTCCTGCTGTGTGGCAGAGGATTTGGTGGACCGCAAAGTCGTCAGACTCGTGGCTGAGAACCGGGGATGCGGGTGCCACGCTGGCTGGGAACCAACCCTCCCGGACCGCGTGTCTCCAGGCGATCGGACCCGCAGTCAGTTCTACTTCTTTCCACCAGGTGGCACTGCTAGCCAAGCCCTGAGGCTTCCAGGCTTGGTTTGCCCCGTTGCCACAGCGCCCTGTTTGGCCCTAGCTAACCACGGACTGTGCCTGCAGACCTGATGTTTCTAGGGGGGCTGTTCTTCAGGCAGGGTAGGCCCTCTGCCCTCAGGGATTTCAGCCCGGTGGAGAGCAGATGGAATAGAGGCCCCAGTGAGGACTCATGGGGCATCCCTGCATCCTGCAGTACCGATTTCAGCCAGCAGGGGCCGCCCCAGCCTGGAAGCTGCACCTGTCTTAAGGGGCCAGTCCGTCCCTTTCTGGAAGGCACATCTACAACCTCGGTTTGCCAGGCACCAAGCCCTGAGGTGTGGACAGCACTGGAGGGGAGGGAAGGTGCAGCCTCCCTTGCGCGGAGGCCTCCACCTCTCACACAACCAGGCAGCACTCACAAAGCTCCTACTATGCATTAGCACGGTGCACTGGGGGAGAAATTAATCACTACTCAATAACTATAAGGGGGCCAGCACCCCAAGTGAGGAGTCACAGATGAACATAACACACCAATGAAGGCACAAGCTCGCAAGCCACAGGGCCGGGGCCAAATGCTGGTTCTAGCACATAACCGCCTTGTGGTCATGAAACAACTGTTCATCTCTGTGTGCCTTCCTTCCCAGTCTGCAGAACGGGGTAGATTTCAATCCCTTGAGAATACAAGCCAGAGTGTCCCTGAGGAGCTGCTGCCAGGACGGATGCCATTGGACTTGGAGCCCTGGTGTCTGGTGGAGAGCATGAGGTCACTCTTTCCTCACTCGTCTGGGGGCTGGTGGCTGAGACCCCGTCTATCACCAAAGCTGGTCGAGACAGAAGCCAACACAGGTATGCGATAACATGAGCTTCCCATGACCTGGGAGCCCTCGTAAACGAAGACCCCGAGAGACGGGGAAGTCTGGCTGTTCTGCTCTGGTTTGCTGAAGAGCGGTTAGCGGTGCGTGATTGGACCCGGGACTGAGGCGGACGGATGGTGGCCAGGGCGGATGTGCGGGTGCACGGCCTGTCTGTCCAGCTTCTTCTCTCTGTCCCTGTGTCTCCAGCACTTACAGCGTGAATGAGGGCCTAGGACCTGCTTTAGGGAAGGGGAGCACGGGCTTCCTGCTTCAGCTGATTCTTACATGCCAAGGCGCCCTACTTGGGGGTAGCAGGTCCGTGTGTTACGTAAGTAAATAGGAATGCACGGTGGGGGTCTGCCCAGGTACTCCTAGGTACTCCTGAGCTCAGGCCCCCGGAAGCCCACCCCCACCAAGGCGGGATGTGCAGGTGGGACCACACACCTGGCCTGCTGGCCTTGGGCGGTTTCCAGTCAGGCTCGAGTGGCCGGGGACTGGCCAAGCCCTGAGCCTTCCAGAGCTGCCGCACGGATCTCTGCTACGGGAATGTGGTTTATCAACAAGGTGCTCTGGGAGCTGCCCACCAGGAATCCACCCCAGGCAGCCAGCACCGCAGTTGGAGCCGGGACAAGGAAGGGCAAGGAGGCACCCCTGGGCCCTGTGCTTCTTCCAGGCCAGGGGGACTGAGGGCACGAGGGGGTGCCCTGAGCCCCCTGACTTCACACCAGGGGTCCCTGGCCTCAGGCTGGGCCAGCTGGACCTGCTGACCCTGTGCTGACTCCTTGCCAGTTCGCCTTTGGCCCTTGAAGCGTGAGTCTAGTGGAGAAACTAAGGCAGCTGGGAAGGGCTGTGTGAACGCGGGGGGAAAGTCTTTCAAAGTCAGCCAGGGAGGGGCTGCTCTCACCCCCACGACACACCAAAGCCGTGTTGTATCGGGCCCTGCATCCTGGCTTCCTGTTTTACACGTGGCGGCTCTGGGGCCCGGGGAAGGCCCGGGAGCTGCCACAGATAACACAGAGGGGCAGAACCTAGGTCTCCAAACTTCCCATCCTCTCCCGCCCCATTCAGGCCGTTCCCCCCGCACCTGGCCAAGGGCACCCCCAGTCCCAGCTCCCCCAAGGCCATGCATGGGGGGGGATGCCAGCCCTCCCTCAGCTGAGTCCAAAGCAGTCACTGCAGGTGGCCTTGACCTGGGCTTGTGGGAAAGCCTTAGTCTGGAGGTGGCGCCGGGACCCACAGCCTGCAAACCAGCCTGGGGCTTGGAGCTCCTGGCTCCTGGCTTCGGACTGGCTCGCCCCTGGCCATTGTGGCCATTTGGGGAGTGAACCAGCAGGTGGCAGATTCTCTCTCTCTCTGTCCCTGCCTCTTCTCCTTGCTCTTTAACTCTGGCTTTCAAGTAAATAAACAAATCTTTAAAAAATGAAAAAGCAAACAACACTGATGCTCACGTCCCACCCCAAGCCATTGGGGGGGGCAGAGTTGGGCATGGGTACTTATTAACACCCCATTGCAATGACAAGGTGCAGTTGGGTTGGCGTTGGTCAGAAAGGAGTGAAGGCTGCATTGAGGCTGTCTCAGGCCGTGTGCCCAGGTCCCCACTTCCTCCTTGCAAGCTGGCCAGCTGCCGTGGGTCCGCAGCAAGCTGTGAGAAATTGTCAGGAAATTCCCTGGATATTATAACTCGTGACAGCAACATCTCATTAATCATCAACCCTGTAACGTGATCCCGGCCCATAAAAAAAAACCGAAACCTGCGGAATCTCTGCAAACCTGCTCACTGGCCCTTGCCTGACAATTCCTTCCAGACCCAGAGACCTGTGCCGGGGATCCTAGGCTGATGGGTGCCCAGCTCTGCTCCGAGCCCAGTAAGTAGGTCTCTTGCAGGCCCCAGGCATGGCCCCTCCAGCAGGGATGCGAAAAGCGGGCTGGACGCTCCGAGGGGTGGAGGTGTGGTGGGTGTCATCCCGGCTCTGCTGCCCTGTGGGGGAGTCCAGCTGGGGCTGGGTGACCAGGTCCTGGGTCCCTGCCCTGACAAGATGACCCGCATAACCCGTCTGCCTCTCAGAGCCTGTTGTGCAGGAAGGGTAGTGGCTGGGTGGACAACAGGGTACGGCTGTGGGGGCTTGGTGGGAGACAGGGTCGAGCGGGGGGACGGTGGGCACTTTGTCCCTGGGCCTGCTTCCTTGGCCAGCACAGCCCACCTGGCCAGCGTGCAGGACTGCTGATGCACACATCACCAAGGTTCTGGGAGAGCCTCACCTGCGGCCAAGGGTATCACTCAGCAGGAGGCCCCGGACGGGCAGAGCTGGGGATCTGGGGCTGCATCCCCTGAGGTCAGGGCTAAGCATCTCTGGACGCGTCCTTGTCTTGCTGAAGAGCGGGAACCTCCGCTCAGGGCCCTTAGCCCCGGGTGGGCCTCAAAGGTTGGGCCCAGCACCCTCCCACTTCTGGCTGTGAGGACCTGGACCGCTTGCACAGCCTCACGGTCTGAGTGCTTGGCTGCCAGGTGTGTGTTGGGGGAAGTACAAGAGTCTGTGTAGTACTTGGCAGGTGCTGGCGCCCCTGAAGTCTTGATGGCCCGAGGGGTGCGGATGATGATGATGAAGGCCCAGGGAAGCCTTCACTGAGCGGGAGGCTGGCCCCGGCCACGCCTATTCCCAGCGCCTCACCGCGAAGTTCCTGTCGTTTGTTTCTCCCTGTGCAGGGGCAGAGATATGCAGAGGTCGGCGCTGCCCTGAACTCGGGGCAGGTAGAGGACGTCTTATTGTCCACCCAGACACACAGCCCCCCTCCTGCAGCAGTGGGAGCGCCAGGGGCAGCAGGGTGTAATTGGGGAGGCCACTTGTCTGGACTGTGGCATCCTGCTTGGAAATGGGCCCATAATAGGAACTATGCCCATGGGCGTGAGAGTGCTCTGAGCCATCGGCGACAGGCCTGCTTGGAGAGCCACACCTGACCCGGGAGTGGGGTGTGCAGAGTTGCCCGGGGCAAAGGGTGGGAGGAGCCGGGCAGGGTGGAGGTGGTGTTCACACCTTCCAGGACACTGTGACCCAGCTCCAAGCTCAGGTGCCGGAGTCACGCCGGCTCGTGCTGGCCTGCCAGGAGGGTGGCTGTCAGGCCCACTCCACCTGGACCTTGTGCAGTGAGCAACCAGCACAACTGTCCCAGAGAACGTGGGTGTGGGGAGCCAGGGCCTCAGGGAGGCGGCCGCTCTGGGCAGGATGCGGAGCACAGGTGTGCCCCAGGAGGAAGGGGCGTAAGCGCCCTGACCACTAGTTACCTGTGTCCACCTGGGTCCCCTCCTCTACACACGGGGACGTGAGAGCGTGCCTCCCACGGGCTGCTGGGACCCATCCTGGGCAGGGGTGGAGTGAGCTTTGCAGATGGCCAAGTTCCTGTCCAGGGTCAGGCCTGCGTCTCCTTCAGTCCTTAGGGCTTCCTGCCCTGCCGAGGGACCCACGCGTCCACCGTGGTCATTCCCAGGGACTTCCCTTCTTCCCCAGACCCCTCCAGGGAGCCACACCCCCTCCCAGTGCCATCCTGCCCCCAGAACAGGTCCTGCCGGGAGCCAGCCTGTGTCCCTGGTACCTGGCAGGGGTGGGGAGAGAGGGAAGGGGGAGCGATGACCCCGCCATAGGGGGTGTGGTCTCCCTCTCTTGAGGTTTGGTGGGTTACACCAGGAAAATCCACCTGTTCTCAGGTACCCCCAGCCCCGTGCCTGGCCAGGCGGGCAGTGAACGCCCTGCACTCAACCACCAGGCCCTGGCAGGGCGGGCCTGTCATTGCCTTCTGTAGAGAGGGGCGGTGGGCCCAGCGGGCAGCGGCTACATCAGTGGCGGGACCCGACTAGAGTCCAGAGCAGCCCAGCTGCATCAGCACCTTAGCAGTGGGCACCAGCTCAGGCTCAGCAACATCCGGGCCCCCCGTCTGACCCCAGGTCACCGTGCGTGCTTCCCCTGGCTTGGGTTCAACCTCGGGGAGCAAGGAATCTGGGCATAGCTGGGATGGGCAGGAGAGCTGAGACCACTCCAGGAAGGGTGACGGGAGATGGACAAGCAGAGCCGTTCAGAGGTCCCAAAGCCGGGGGACATTTGTCTCTGTAGCCTCTGGCATGGGCATTTTTTTTTTGGGGGGGGTGGGGTGGGATGGGAGCGTCCCTTAGGCCTGTGGAAGATCAGGGACAGATTCCCAGTGACATCAGGGGGGCTCTGTGCCCGAGCATAGTTAGCCTCCCTCCCGGGGCCCTGCAAGAATGTGGCAGGCATGCGTAAGGTCAGAGACTGTGCCAGGGGTTTGTGTCCCGATCGGGGCGGGGGGTGGGGGGGCTTGCCTCTCTAGCCTGGGGTCTGGCTCAGGTCCGGGTTGAATTCCTGACAGCAGTGAGCCAGCTTCTCTCTCCTGACCCAGAAAGAGCAGGGCCAGGGGGAGAGGCGGGGGGGGGGGGGGCTCGGGAGCTGGCTCTGAGCAGTTCTGGGCCAGGAAGCTCCACCAGCTTCCTCCCCACGGGGCGGGGTGGGGAGGGGGGAGGGGGGAGGGGGGAAGGGCTGCCCGATAAGGAAGTTGCCCTTGTGACTGCCAAGTGGAGTGATGCGGGAAGTCCCCTGCTTCCATGGCCCACTGCAGTCCTAGACCCAACCCAGGGTTTTGGGGGGGGGGGCTCAGCTGGGACCCCGCAATATAAAGATGGCACCCTCCCTGGGGGCCATGGGGTGCACACAGCTGATGCAGGTTCCCCACGTGACACTAATGTGTCAAACAGAGGGGGAAACAGCACCCCACCCCCACCCAGGGACTCGTGGGTCCGAGTAGACCACGGCAGGTGGGGAGGCCCATCTCCTCTCGGGGCTATTTCGGAGCCGACACAGAACATACGATACAATAAACATATCATCTATCCGCCCAGCTGAAGCTGCGCTTTCTCTAGAAACAGAAGACAGCTGTTACCCGCACTGAGGGTGAGCAGACCCAGAACAGGCATCAGCCCCTTCATTGTCACAGCATCCCTAGGGAGGTTCCTGGTGGGAACTCAGACCCCTGTCCAACAAAGTCATTTCCTCCCAGGCTCCAAGGTGGTTCTCGGGGCGTGGGGGTGGGGTTCAAGTGACCCCACTGGAGCTGGGGGACTGGAAATGGCCCCTCAGGGGAGGTCAAAGTGGACCTGGGCTGCTGGGGAGAGTTGAGGGGGCTCCCGGGGTGTATAAGGAGTTGTCAAGATGACCCTAGGTGCCAGGGGTTCCCTGAGGAGCTGGTGGGCGTGGCCTGGCCAGAGTCGACATCGTCCATTCTCTCCCCTGCCCCACAGATGCCATGGAGCCCCGAGAGGCCCTTCGCTTCCACGACAAGGCCAAGGGCGCGCAGGTGCGTCTGGACGCGCAGGGCTGCAGGGCGAGCAGGTGCGCCACGTTCCACGATGGCATCGTGTTCAGCCAGCGGCCGGTGCGGCCCAGCGAGCGGGTGGTGCTGCGCGTGCTGCAGCACGAGGACCGCTGGTGCGGCGGCCTGCGCGTGGGCTTTACGCGTCTGGACCCTGAGCGCCTCTCCGCAGCCAGCCTGCCGCCCTTTGTGTGCCCCGACCTGGTGGAGCAGAGCCCCACGTGGGCAGCCGTGCTGCCCGAAGGCAGCGCGCTTGCGGGGGACTTGGTCCGCTTCTGGGTGGACCCACGAGGGCGGCTCTTCGCCAAGACCAATGAGGGCCCAGGGTTCCTGCTGCGCAAGGACGTGCTCATGGGCGCCCCCCTCTGGGCCGTGATGGACGTGTACGGGACCACCAAGGCCATCGAGCTGCTGGGTGAGACAACGTGGGGACCCAGACCCTTTCCGGGGTGAGGGTGACGTTGGCTCGGGTGGCACCCCCATGGGCACCCAGAGCCATCGGAAGACGGTTCATTTGTTCATTCTCAGTAATTCCATCCGTCCCTGCGCAGGGCCAGGAATGAGGATGGTGCTGACCCCAGTCAGGGGGGTGGCAGCGTTGTCCCCAGAGAATCATAAGGAGCTACCACCAGGCGCCGCTGTTGTGGCTTCAGCCCCGGTTTGTAACTCCAGCATCCCATATACCAGGGCCGGTTGGAGTCCCAGCTCCTCTACTTCCCATCCAGTTTCCTGCTGATGTGCCTGGGAAGGCAGAGGAAGATGGCTCAAATACCTGGGCCTTCGCCACCCATGTGGGAGACCAGAATGGAGTTCCTGGCTGCTGGCTTCCGCCTGGCCCAGGTCTGGCTGTTGCAGCCATTTGGGTAGTGAATCAGCAAATGGAAGATCTCTCTCTCCCTCCCTGTCTCTCTCTTTCTCTATCCTGCTCTGATTTAAAAATGAATACACAATTTTTAAAAATTTAAGATTTATGTATTTATTTGAAAGGCGGAGTTACAGAGAGGCAGAGGCAGAGAGAGAGAGAGAGAGAGAGAGAGAGAGAGAGAGAGATGTCTTCCATTTGCTTGGTTCACTCCCCCAAATGCCTGCAATGGCCGGAGCTGGGTCGATTCAAAGCCAGGATCCAGGAGCGTCTTTGGGTCTCCCACGCGGGTGCAGGGGCCCAAGCACTTGGGCCATCCTCCACTGCTTTCCCAGGGCATAGGAGAGAGCTGGATCGGAAGTGGAGCAGCCGGGACTCAAACCAGCGTCCATATGAGATGCCAGCGCTGCCGGCGGTGGCTTTACCTGCTACACCACAGCGCCGGCCCCTGTATTTCTTTCTTTAGTGTTTTGTAGTTTTCATCATACAAATCAAACTGATGTCTTTTAGCGTGGCTGATGACGAATGTTTTTCCAGCCCCTGGGTGGTTTTGGTGCACCCTGGCTTGGGATGTGGGTGAGGCTGAGGAGGGGCTGAAGAAAGTGGGTCCAGGAGGAAGACTACAGCCACACAAGGTCAAATTTGGGAGGGAATGGCCAAGAGCCCAGCCTTTCACCCCAGGGAGGAAAGTAGATGGAGGCTTGGCTCCTCGGGCATGGGAGAGGGGGTGGGAGGTCACCCTGGGCTCTCTCAGGCCCTGAATTTTCCACTCTGCCTCAGATCCTACAGCCGGCTGGTGCCCCGCAGCCAAGCCAGAGGCCCCCTGGGAGGAGGCGCTGCCTGAGCATGAAGGTGAGTGGTTTCTCTGGGTAGCAGCGACGCCCCGGGACTTCCGCACCTGGGAGTGGGGGTGGAAGCCGCGGCCCTGGCTGCTCCGTCAAGTGTCTCTGAGCTTCCCTGGTCGAGGGTGGCACAGGCTTGGAGCCAGGGCACTTGGCTGTGCCTGCTGGAATCCTAAGGGCAATTTAACAGCTCTGCCGTCCAGAACATCGGCTGATTTTACAAGTTATCAGAGCACATTCACAAGCAGATAATGTTATTTTGTTCTTGCTTTTAAACAGTAATCCACATTCATTGTAAAACTTTGCCAAATAGAAATAAAGATGAAAGGATAAATAAGGAACTTAAAAAAAAAACACCATTACCTCTTGGGTAGATTTCTTCCCAGTGATTTTGTGCTTTTTATTTTTATTTTTTAATTTTTTTTAAGATTTACTTATTTGAGGGGCCGGCACTGTGGCCATGGCAACTAAGCTTCCACATTCCATGTGGGTGCCGGTTCAAGTCCCCATTGCTCAGCTTCCAATCCAGCTCTCTGCTATGGCCTGGGAAAGCAGTAGAGGACGGCCCAAATGCTTGGGCCTCTGTACTCACATGGGAGACTCTTTTTAAAAAAAGATTTACTTATTTGAAAGGCAGAGTGACAGAGAGGGAGAGACACAGATAGAGATCTTCAATCCACTGGTTTACTCCCCAGATGGCTACAAAGGCAGAGGCTGGGCCGGCCAAAGCCAGGAACCTGGAACTCCATCCAGAGCTCCCTTGTGGGTGACAGGGGCCCAAGTACGTGGGCCATCTTTCATTGCTTTCCCAGGTGCGTTAGCAGGGAGATAGATAGATCAGAAGTGGAGTCTCCAGGACTCAGACTGGCACCCATATAGGATGCCAGTGTTGCAGGCAGCAGCTTAACCTGCTGACTGACCCCAATATTTTATTTTTATTTTTTAGTTAGGTTCTTTCTTCTTTGATTCTTGTTGAGACCCAGAGAGAGAGGAGAGAGAGCACTCCCATCCACTTGTTCACATCCCAAATGCCTGTGGTAGCCAGGTCTAGGCCGGGCTGAAGCCAGGAGCCCACACAAGTAGCAGGGACCCAAGTACTGGGGCCGGCACCTGCTGCCTCCCAGGGTCTGAGTTAGCAGGAAGCTGGAGTCGCGAGGTAGAGCGGGGAATGGAACGCAGGTGCTCTGATGTGGGGTGTAGACGTTTTACCAGGCAGACCAAACACCCCACCTCTGCTCCCTGCTACTCTTAGTGCAGGTGTGCATACACTCATGTGTGGGGAATTGTTGGTCCTTTGCTTTCCTTTTCTCCAAACTAGAATTTGAGGGCACATAGGGGCAGTAGTCCCCCTTACCCACGGAGGGTTCACCCCATGATGTTTTACTGCTGTGTGAGTTGTGGACAGTGCCAAACCCTAGGTGCACTGTGACTTTTCCTAGTCACACATACCTGTGAGACTTTAATATATACATAAGGCACAATAAGAGAAATAGCAACTAATAATGCAAAAGAGCCGGCGCTGCGGCTCACTAGGCTAATCCTCCGCCTTGCGGCGCCGGCACACCGGGTTCTAGTCCCGATCGGGGCGCCGGATTCTGTCCCAGTTGCTCCTCTTCCAGGCCAGCTCTCTGCTGTGGCCAGGGAGTGCAGTGGAGGATGGCCCAAGTGCTTGGGCCCTGCACCCCATGGGAGACCAGGAGAAGCACCTGGCTCCTGCCTTTGGATCAGCGTGGTGTGCTGGCCGCAGCGCGCCAGCCGTGGCAGCCATTGGAGGGTGAACCAATGGCAAAAAGGAAGACCTTTCTCTCTGTCTCTCTCTCTCTCACTGTCCACTCTGTCTGTCAAAAAAAAAAAAAAAAACAAAAAACCAGTTATGTTAAGCTTGCGGATTGTTTTTGGAATTTTCCCTCGAATACGTTTAGATCGGGGTCACTGCAACCATGGGGAGTGGAGCTGGCGATGGGGGCCCGGGTGAGGGGGTGGACGGGGAAAATCCATGGAAAACGGATTCAACCGTGAGTTAAAAGAAACCCAAATAGGCACCAGGTATTTTGAAATCCATGCATAGTTTTTTCATAATGTGTATTTCGCATGACCTGTCTGAAGACCCCGGGGTTGGAACAGCCTGGTGGTCTTTAGTTGGTGACACTGCAAGCATGTGTCGCGAGGCCACCGTTTGCCCAGCACTGCCAAGCCCTCCGCCCTGACCCCTGCACCTCTGACCGTGTCTCTCCTCCCCCAGATGCAACAGCGGAGGAGTGTGCCATCTGCTTCCACCATGCTGCCAACACCTGCCTAGTCCCCTGCGGCCACACGCACTTCTGCAGCCACTGTGCCTGGAGAGTCTTCAGGGACACGGCCAAGTGCCCTGTGTGTCGCTGGCACATCAGGGAGGTGGTCCCGGCAAGGGCCCTTCCTGCCCCAGGGACAGGATAGGCTCATGAGAGAGAAGATGGCTTCCTGGAGAGCACAGCTGATGGGGCCTGGCTCTGAGCAGAGGGGCGAGGTGGGGCCTGCCCTCTTTTTGGAAAAGGGTTGCGCTGGTCAGCAATGGGCAGAAGAGAGAGGAATGAGGGGGTGTGGCTGCTCCCCCGCAGGGCGGGGGCTGGGGCCTGTGCAGCAAGGAGTGACCCCATGGCAGCACTAACCCCATGGGCAGGCCCTGTCCAGGCAGGGCACAGCCTAACCCCTCGCCTGGCAGCTGTGCAGGGTCTGCTGGGGGCACTGCACCCCAGGAGGCGTCCAGCCTTGCGATTTGCAATCTTGCAGGGAAGCCAGGCCCCCTCCCACGATGGCTGGTGCAGTGGCTCTGTCCTGGCCCGCCCAGCCTCCTGCTTGGGGCAGTCTCACCCCTGAAGCTGAGTCAGTGTGGAGCGCAATGCCGTCATCACAGGTGTTTCCTTGCCTGCTTCCAAGATGTGAAAATAAAGTTTCAGGCCAGCGCTGCGGCGCAGCGGGCTAAGCCTCCTCCTGTGGCGCCCACATCCCATATGGACACCAGTTCCTGTCCTGGCTGCTCCACTTCCGATTCAGCTCTCTGCTGTGGTCTGGAAAAGCAGAAGATGGCCGAAGTGCTTGGGCCCTTGCACCCGTGTGGGAGACCCAGAGGACGCTCCTGGCTCCTGGCTTCGGATTGGCTCAGCTCCAGCCGTTGAGACCATCTGGGTAGTGAACCAGTGGATGGAAAATCTCTTTCTCTCTCGTCTCTCTTTCTCTCTTTCTGTAACTCTGCCTCTCAAATAAATAATAAGTAAATCTTTAATTTTTTTTTTAAAAAAGGAAACAAGTCCGTAGTGGACTTTAAAAAGCTCTGTACATTCCTGGTTTAGTTGATCTGACAGCTGTGCTGCTGCCCAGGAAAGACCCGCGAGGACCCCAGCCCCCCGCTGCTGGCCCCTCCTGAGGCCCTTTGCAAGCAGGACATGAAGATTAAGGCGGTTAAACTACCTGCCGGTTACAGGAGAGTCTCAGCCAGGCACAGAGATCCCGGCAAAGGGCGGGAATTATTATTATGTTTTTCTTATTTGAGAGGCAGAGTTACATAGAGGGGGAGAGGTCTTCCATCCACTGGTTCATTCCTCAAATGGCCACAATGGCTGGAGCTGGGCTGATCCAAAGCCGGGAGCCAGGAGTCCCAGCTGCTCCACTTCTGCTCCAGCTCCCTGTTTGCAACTGGGAAAGCAGCGGATGACGGCCCAAGTGCCTGGGCCCCTGCCACCCGTATTGGAGACCAGGATGGAGCTCCTGGCTCCTGGCTTCAGCCTGGCCCAGACCTGACTGTTGTGGCCATTTGGGGAGTGAACCAATATGTGGAAGACCTCTGTCTGTGCATCTCTCCCTCCTTCTGTCACTCTTCCTTTTAAATAAATCTTTCCAAGAAAAAAGAGGATTCCTGAAATAAAAAATGCACTGGCAGTGCTCGACAGCAGATCCCAGCTGGCAGAAGCGTCAGTGAACTTGAAGGCTGGTTGATGGTTGATGGTGATCAAATCTGAAGAAAGAGAAAACAAGAACAAAGGCTGGGCCGGCACTGTGGTGCCTGGGAAAGCAGTGGAGGATGGCCCAAGTCCTTGTCCCCTGCACCCGTGTGGGAGACTGGGAGGAAGCACCTGGCTCCTGGCTTCGGATCAGCGCAGCTCCAGCCGTTTCGGCCATTGGGGAGTGAACCAGCGATGGAAGACCTTTCTTTCTATCTCTCCCTCTCACTGTATGTAACTCTACTTCTCAAATAAAATAAATAAAAAATCTTTAATAAAAAAAAAAGAACAAAAGCTGAGAGCTGTGGGAGCCACCAAGGGCAGCAGCGTACATGGAGCGGGAATACCACGAGAAGAGGCAGAGAGAAGGAGTAGGGAAAAAATTCAAGAGTCCAGGAAGTTCCAAAATTTAATGAAAAATATGAATCCACAGCTCCAAGAAGCTCAACAAACTTAGAATAGGATAAACAGAAAAAAGCATTAAATGAACATTTGTAAAATGAAATCTACATAGATAAAAATATGAAAAAATACTAAAAGCAAAAAAATTATGGGGCCAGCGCCGTGGCGCAGTAGGTTAATCACTTTGCCTGCAGCTCTGGCAACCCATATGGGTGCCAGTTCTAGTCCTGGCTGCCCCTCTTCCAGTCCAGCTCTCTGCTGTGGCCTGGGAAAGCAGTAGAAGATGGCCCGGGTGTTTGGGCCCCTGCACCTGCTTGGGAGACCAGGAGGAAGCTCCTGGCTCCTGGCTTTGAATCTGTGTAGCTCCGGCCGTTGCGGCCATTGGGGGAGTGAACCAGCGGACAGAAGACCCTTCTCTCTGTCTCTCCCTCTCACTGTCTATAACTCTACTTCTCAAATAAATAAAAATCTTTAAAAAAAAGACTAAACAATAAAATAGACACTTTTAAAGAGATTTTTAAAAAGTTAAAAAATCAAAACTGAACCCAAGGCCCAGCTGTCTCCCTCCCACGCCCTCCAGGACTCGCAGGTCTGGCTGCTTTTATAATCTCTAAGCAAAGACTGAGAGAGACTTCCCTGGACAACTGACCAGTTCAGGGGAAAAGGCACAAAAATACTGACATCAAGGTATTCCCCAAAGAGATGGTGCCGCCGGTCCCTTAGGATCCAGGGACACGCCCCACCTGTGGCTTCAGAGCATGAAAGTGGCGGGGTGGCTAGCTCGGCGGTTACCAGAGCGCCTGGGTTTGATCCAGCTCCAGCCCCAGCCCCGCCCCCATCTTCCGGCTAATGTGCACCCTGGCAAGCAAGGGGTGATGGCTCAGGTGGCTGAGTCCCCACCGCCCACATGGGAGACCTGGATTGAGTATCTAGCTCCTGTATTTAGCCTGACCCAGCTCCACCTGTTGTGGCCTTGGGGAGTGGACCAGTGGATGAGATCTCTCTCCCTCTCCCCTCCTCTCTCTCTCTCTCTCCCTCTCTCTCTCCCTCTCTCTCTCTCCCTCTCTCTCCCTCTCTCTCCCCCTCTCTCTCCCTCTCTCTCCCTCTCCCTCTTCCTCTCCCTCTCTCTCTCCCTCTCTCTCTCCCTCTCTCTCTCTCTCTCTCTCCCTCTCTCTCTCTCTCCCTCTCTCTCCCTCTCTCTCTCTCTCTCTCTCCCTCTCTCTCTCCTTCTCTCTCCCTCTCTCTCTCCTTCTCTCTCCCTCTCTCTCTCTCTCCCTCTCTCCCTCTCTCTCCCACTCTCCCTACTCCCTCAACTGTCTGTTTTTCAAATAAAATAAGTAAATAAAACATAAGTTGAAATATTGTACATGGGAGACCATTTGTATTCAGGAAATTTCAGAAAATTGAGGACAAAGGCAAGATCCTGCAAGTTTCCACTGAGATACAAAAGACCAAAAATACAAAGAAAGCCCAAAAGTTTTTCACACCTCAGGAGGGCAACAGTGGGAGCTAAACACTGGTGGGAAAAGTCTCCACATGCGGGCTCATCCCACGAGGCCCCTGCACTGTCGGCATGGGTGGGGTGACGGTGCTCTCTGGCAGGAAGCGCCGGAGACAAGTTTCAGTGAACCTGTTCGCTTTATTAACGACCACGCACATCTTTTAAAGGGCAGGCAGAGGGGGCGTAACCAATTCAGGGCAATACTAATTCTATAGGATGAAGCTGGTATTGGCACGCCACTATGCTTCTCCTATCAGCTTGAAGGTCATGTAGGCACGTAGCTTTTCTGATGGGCCTGGGCCACACCGGGAGCAGTTTGCCTGATTGGCAGAAGGCTGGGGCTGGGGGAGATGTGCCTGGGGTTCCTGCTGCCTGCCAGTGGTCAGGCTAACTGCGTGGGCTAGGCAGGCAGTTTCACGGGATCCCCCACGTTCACAGTTCTGAGGGAAAGTCATTTATAGCTAGGATGTGGAACCCAGTCCAAGGGCCAATCAAGGAAAAGGCTAGGATGGGCATGTTGAGACAAAACCCTTTTTTTTTTTTTTTTTTTTTATGACAGGCAGAGTGGACAGTGAGAGAGAGAGAGAAAGGTCTTCCTTTACCGTTGGTTCACCCTCCAATGGCCACCGCGGCCAGCGCATCACGCTGATCCGAAGCCAGGAGCCAGGTGCTTCTCCTGGTCTCCCATGGGGTGCAGGGCCCAAGCACTTGGGCCATCCTCCACTGCACTCCCGGGCCACAGCAGAGAGCTGGCCTGGAAGAGGGGCAACCGGGACAGAATCTGGCGCCCCGACTGGGACTAGAACCCCGGGTGCCAGAGCCACAGGCGGAGGATTAGCCTATTGAGCCACGGGGCCAGCCAAGACAAAAACCTTTTCAATAAATTTACTTCAAATAACCTTGGCCAAAAACAAACAAAAAACTAAAGGAGTGTAATCTGGGGTCCCGGAAGCAGTAGCCAGGGTGAAGAGGGGGATCCCAGGATGAAGACAGGCAGAACATCCCAGCTACAGCTGTCCAGTTGGGAGCAGATCAGAGATTAAAAAAAAAAAGTATTTGTAAGTCCACTGACTCACTCCTCAAATACCCACAGCAGTGGAACTAGACCAGGCTGAAGCCAGGAGCCAGGAATGCAACCCAAGTCTCCCACGTGGGTGGCAAGCTCCCGACTATTTGAGCCATCACCACTACTTCCCATCATCTGCACTGGCAAGAAGCTGGTGCCGGGAGCGAGAGTCAGGCCTGGAACCCAGGCACTCCACTCTGGGACATGGGGCCTCTTAATCCATGTCTTTGTGGCTAAAACAAACGTTCCCCCTTAGTGATGTTGAGGTTTTTTCCTCTATGGCCAGCAGTAGTGGGGATCATGTGTCAGTTTGGCATAATTTATCCAAACTTCAAATGCACAGACCCTTTAGCTGAAAAGTCTCACTTCTGAAAGTCCATCTTGCGGCTGGCGCCGTGGCTCACTAAGCTAATCCTCCGCCTTGCGGCGCCGGCACACCGGGTTCTAGTCCCGGTCGGGGCGCCGGATTCTGTCCCGGTTGCCCCTCTTCCAGGCCAGCTCTCTGCTGTGGCCAGGGAGTGCAGTGGAGGATGGCCCAAGTACTTGGGCCCTGCACCCCATGGGAGACCAGGAGAAGCACCTGGCTCCTGCCTTCGGATTAGTGCGGTGCACCGGCTGCGGCAGCCATTGGAGGGTGAACCAACGGCAAAGGAAGACCTTTCTCTCTGTCTCTCTCTCTCACTGTCCACTCTGCCTGTCAAAAAAAAAAAAAAAAAAGTTCATCTTGCAAAAAACCTTCCTGGCTTCGGATCGGCGCAGCTCCGGCCGTTGAGCCCAGCGGGGGAGTGAACCAGCGGATGAAGACCTCTCTCTCTCTCTCTCTCTCTCTCTCTCTCTCTGCCTCTCCTTCTCTTCTTGTGTAACTCTTTTAAATAAATAAATAAATCTTTTTAAAAAATGAAGATTGATTTATTTGTTTGAAAGGCAGAGTTACAGAGAGAAGGAGAGAGACAGTTCCTCCATCTTCTGGTTCACTCCCCAAATAGTCGTAACAGCAAGGAGCCTGGAATGCCATCTGGGCCTCACACGTGCTTGGGCCATCCTCGCTGCTTTCCCAGGCACATTAGCAGGGAGCTGGATCAGAAGAGGAGCAGTCAGGACTCGAACCAGCGTCCATATGGGATGCCGATGCCACAGGCCTCTCCCCTGCCCCGTCACCTTTTGAAAGGAAAGCAGGTATTCCCTGTTCAGACTCATTGCATACACTAATTCTGTAAGTCTTGACCTGGGAGGGATTTCTTCAAGAGGAAGTCAGAACACCTGATGTGTGAACGCTGATGGGGGGGAAGGCAGTCCGAGGGCAGTGTGGTGTAGAGTCTTCTAAAGGCAAGCAAAGGCAAAGCGAGTCAATTATTAATTTTGGCAGGGGACGTAATGCAGGAAAAGATCATTTATGGTATGCACATGTCTCAACTGTCCCAGGTACTTAAACAGTACTCATGGAAATGTGATTTGTGTCTCAGAAAAAAAAAAAGGTTATTTTTAAGAAAATTCCAAAATTGATGAATCAAGAAAGACAAGCGGGAATGAAAGAGGAAGACAAATGAGCCCAGGGAGCAGGGAAGAGGAAGTGACGTTTGCACTGGTGTTTTGGTGCTGGGTGGACGGCAGAGAGGAGGGAAGAATTCCAGAGAGCAGGCACAGCAGGTGCAAGGTGGGACAGTGTGGAGTGTGGTGGGGCACCCACGAGGAGGTCAGATTGGGCAGGGCAGAGGGACAGGTTGGGGCTGGAGAGCTGCTGGCAGGGGCTGGAGGAGCCTTTACTGTGGGGGTCTGGATGCAGGAGGGCTTGTGTGCCAGGGGCCAGCCCAGCCACCGCACCGCCCTTTCAGGCACATTGCAAGGGAGCCGGCCGCTGCTTGGGCTCGCTCTCCTAGAGGGTCGAGTCTGCAGGCCCGCGATGGTCAGCAGGTGGAGGAAGCCTGCAGTGAGTCACCTTCACGAGGGCACTCCCCACAGAGAGAAGGGAAAGTAAAACTGCAACCAGGATCCTCAGGGATTGCTATCAGTGGGGAGCCAGCCTGGGCTGCGTCCAGGGACCAGCTACGGGGCTTTCCAAAGGGAGCAAAAAACCCCGTGCCCAGGTGACGTTCACACGGGGCTTCCTGTAGGGGGTGAGACAGGTCTGAGAGATAAGGCGCCCTCTCCCCGGGATCAGGGCCACCCCGGCCCCTGCCGCCCCGTCTTGCCACCTCTCTCTGTCTCAGGCTCACGCGCCCAGCCCCAGAGTGCTGTGAGCGCCATCAGCGCTGTGAGCTGATGGCCGTCCCGGCCTCCCAGCCCTGCCTGCGAGAGGTATCCCTCCTGCTGCTCATAGGTTCCGTAGGAAATTCCATCTGGAAGAAGACCAGAGGCAAAGGCTGTGGGCGGGGGAGGACCATTCCCGAGCCCGGTGGCGGGGGGGAAGGGAGCCAGGTACTGTTCAGCGGCTGCTGCCCAACCCCGTTCTTTGCGGGAGGGGCAGGTGGGGAGTCCCCTGATGAGCCTGGACGAGGGTCTCTGTGCTCCTCTGGGACAGCCAGCCTGTCCCTCTCAGATCTGTATAAAGGGTAAGGGTGTACAGCAGGTAACAATATGCGCATTTAGATCCAGGAAAGGGGAGGGGGGCAGAGGCTGCGTGTGGCTTGCCCCAGTCCACACAGCAGTCATGGTATTGCCAGGACTAGATCTGGATTCGCTCTTAGCCAGGGCACCCATCAACCTCAAGCTGAGCTTCATGGTCCCCATCCCCCTCTCAAAGTTCCCAACCAAGGGGCCCGTGTTGTGGCATCAGGGAG